AGTGGAGGGTGGGAGTGGGGAAGGGAAGGAGAGAATAAACATTTATATATAGTGCCTACTATGTACTAGGCACTTTGCCAAATGCCTTGCAAATATATCTCATTTGATCATCTAAAGGGAAGCAAAATACATTAAGTTTGTAAAGGTTGGCAAGACTTCAAGATTGCTCAGGCTTCTTTTAAATGCTAAGATTAGGATTTGCATTTAACTCTAGAGGTAATAGGGATCCTCTGAAGCTTTTTGAGCAGGATAGTGATGTGGTCAGATTTGTGCTTTATGTCAGACTTATGCTTTATAAAGATTGTTTTGGCAGCTATATGGAGGACAGATTGAAGAGACTGAATGTCAGAGGTCTAATAAGGAAGCTATTGCAATAATCCAGGCAAGAAAAAATGATGATCTATGCTAAAGTGTTGGCAGCCTGAGTGGGGTGAAGGGGCAGTATCTAAGATATATTGTATTTCTTCTCAATTGCCATACCAATAGTTTTTGCTCTTTCTTGGAATGTGATTTTTAAAGACTGTAAGATAGAGTGAGTTTTATTTTTGCTCTTTCACAAACAGATCCAACAATGACTTTCACGAAGATATGGACATCATGCATGCATGCTATACTGGTGCCCAGAATTGTGTCCATCTGTTCATATTTAGGGATGTTTTGATTGATTTAGGCAACTTCCTTTCCCAACTAGTTCTGCAAATCACTATATATTGCTTTCCAGTTCATGCTTCTTAACAACCTGTGGTCTTTGGGACCTCCAAATTCAAGTTAGATTACCTTACCTGTCACCTGTCACCCAGAGGCCAGATTTCTGGCTTTAATGCTTGGACTAGAATACCATTTAAGGAAAGATGGCTTAGGACACAGTTTCCTTATTAACCCCAAATAAATAGTATTCCAACTTCTCACAGTATTAGTCAATACAATACGTCAGACATAAAGATGGATTGGGTTCTTTCCTTGCGTTGGTAGGGGAGATGAAGAAAAGGAGGAGTAAATAGGAAAGGAGGGAGAAAAGACAAAAAGAATGAGAGGCTAGGAAAGACAACAGAACTTGTATTAGAGATATTTTTAGAGTACCTAGTCTAATACACAGTCTTCTAGTTAACATAATTTTGAATATGTTGATTTTTCTTTTGGTGAATGCTATCAATGGTTGTGATTAAAATGATTTTATCCAACTGATGGGCTTTTCCAGAGGCATGAACTCCTTATAGAAAGAGACCCAGTATTTGTTCTGAATGATGCAAAAATAGTGGCCAGATTTTGTCAGATTAATTTTATAGTGTTTTTGATATGTTCTTGCAACCTATTAAATGCTTTTTCTTAATTGTTGTGTATGTTCTGGTGGTTCTGGCAGCCTAGCTTTGCCATTATGATAGCATATACTGTAATCATCCCTTTTCAGTCCCAAGCTTAATAGCTTTGCAATGAATTATTGGATGTTCAATAGCCATTGCTATCAGAGTATATAGAAATGATGGGTAAACATTAGTTGTACAATACTTGCAATTACTGCTTTATCATTTCTAAGTTTAAACTATACCTATTGTAATCTTAATTTCTTTTCTTTGAGTACTAATAACTATTTTTTGTTCAGAAGTAAGGTTTGACCTTCTTTTGTGTTACTCGTTCCTTTTAGTTTCTTCTCTTGTAATGGGTGAATTATTGAGCATTAAAATACCTTCAGATACCTTTAATGATAGATTTCTTTAATGGTAGCTTAGTAGGGGAAAAAAAAGAACATTGAACTGGGAGTCAGCAGTTCTAGGTGCTGGTTCCAGCTCCAGCGTTAACTAGCTGTGTGATCTTTGTTGAGTCATTTAACCTATGGGTGTCTGAGTTTCTTGGAGTGTGACTATGTAAGAGTAATACCATTGACTCTAATTCACAAGATTGTCAGTATAAGGGTGGGATGCTGTTGATTATCTCAGCTCTTAAAAGTAACTACCCTTGTTAGGTAAGTACTTTTTGATTGAACCAACCAGTGAGAATTGAATGTGAACTGGGCCTACTCACCTCCCAGAACTAAACAAAGGCCGCTTAGTGAGAAACTAGGTCATAGCTCTAAGAATTTGTATAAAAGGAAGAAGCTATTCTAGAAAACAGTTCAGCAAAGGGAGGATTGAGTTGTGGCAAGGTAGGAGATATCAAAAAGAGTCATTGGCTCTACGGACAGCCATCCACCAAGCAGAATACCCAGGCTAAAGGGAGACTTCAAGAAAAGGTCAGCTCAGGAAGGTCAGATGGAATATATTACTTATCAGACTCATTGATAGGTGAACAATTTATGAACAAACCAGAGATAGAAAGCATTGTGAGGTATAACATGGATAATTTTGATTACATTAAATTAAAAAGTCTTTGTACAAATAAAACAAATGTAGCCAAGATAGGAAGGAAAGCAGAAAATTGGGGGGAAATTTTATAGACAGTTTCTTAGATAAAGGTTTCATATCTTAAATATACGAAGAACTTTGTCTAACCTGTAAGAATACGAGTCATTCCCCAATTGATAAATGGTCAAAGGATATGAACAAGCAATTTTCCAATGAAATCAAAACAATTTATAGTCATATGAAAAATGCTCTAAATCATTATTGATTAGAGAAATGCAAATAAAAACAACCTTGAGATATTTTATACCTATCAGATTGGTTAAAATGATTGAAAGGGAAAACAACAAATTTTGGAGGGAATGTGGAAAAACTGGGACACTAATTCACTGTTGGCGGAACTGTGAACTGATCCAACCATTTTGGAGAGCAATCTGGAATTATGCCCAAAGAGTTATTAAAATGCCTATACCTTTTGACCCAGTAATACCATTATTAGGTTTGTTTCCCAGGATGATTAGGGAAAAAGGAAAAGAACCTAAATGTTTTAAAATACATATATCAGCTTTCTTTATAGTGGCAAAGAACTGGAAACTGCAGAGATGCCTATCAATTGAGGAATGGTTGAACAAGTTGTAGTATATGATTGCGACAGAATACTACTGAGCTATAAGAAATGATGAGCTCAATTATCTTAGAAAAACATGGATAGACTTGCAAGAAATGATGAAGAGCAAAATGAATGTAACCAAGAGAATGTTGCATACGGTAACAGCAATATTGTTTTAAGAATAACTTTGAGGGACTAAGTAATTTTGACTATTATAAATATTCAAATTAATTACAAAGGACCTATGAAGGAAGATGCTATCTGCACTCAGAGAAAGAAACAAGAAATAGATGTATAGAACGATTTTACAACTACACACACACACACACACACACATTTGTATCTAATGGTAACCATTTCTGGGGTGGGAGAAGAAAAAAGGGAAAAAGAAAGTTACATGATAACTTTATTACATATTTAAGAGGAATAGCAAGTTGTACATAATTAGCAGTTTCACGTGCAAAAAAAAAAAAAAAAGAAAAAAGCAAAGGTCAGCTCATTCCCCAACTTCATGCCTGGATGGTTGTTTATTTTAAGACATTATAATTTGCTATTTCATTACCCAAATGTTTCCAGTAAACTGAATTTTGTCTCAACCACAGAGGCCAGGGTTAAGTAGGCATAGATAGAAATAAAAAGTTAGGCAGAGAGCCCAACCTCTGTTTAAATATTAGGAATTTTCTTAACTGGGGGCTCAACAAGATTGTGACTGAACTCAGAACTTTCCATCCAAAAAAAAACTCTCTAAAGCTGAAGGAGAGGGAACCAAGCAGACCTTAGGGGTCATTATATTGCTCCCTAGGATCAAAATTAGCTAATTGTGGTAACAGGGTATTACACTAAAATCCCCTAAATTTTTATGTGTAAAAACATGAAATTATCTTTGCAATGGAAAAGCTAATCATGTGGAGTACACATTTTTAAGCAGCACTTCTAAAACTGGAAAAGATAGTTAAAGAGCTGTCATTCATGTAACTCTTTACTGTGTAGTTTTAAAGGAAGGTCATCCTTCCTCCATTTCATTTTCTGCATCCACCTGTTCCTTTTCATATTAATAAGATTCTGATGTCTTGCCAACAGCAGACAGCGTAGTTTTTCCTCAGATGTCTGCTGTCTCATCCTCAAGTGTTTCAGTCTTCTTCCTACACTACTTCATTCTTCCTACATTTAACTCTTTCCTTCTTTAACTTCGACCTTTTTTCTCCCAGCCCAGAGTTTTTATTCCAAAGTTTCAGTTCTTGCTAGATTTTTCTGAGGGTGCCATATATGGTACTGCTGTTGCCCCCCAACTATTAACTCTTTCCCCCTTTCTCCTAATCTTCCCATATTTCTGTAGCCTTAGTTATTTGTCAAGAGGTGTTTTGAGCTTATGTGCCTTGGTGGTAGGATGGTGGGATGGTGGGTGGGGAGGGAGAGAGGCTTAGCAGGACCTATCCCTGTTCTTTCTAGTGGGTTGATTGTGGTTTGCCCATCACTTTCCTCTTATCCCTCCACTCTTTCATTTTCAAGAATTGTGAAGTTGTTGTTCTTGATAGAGTCTGTGTATGTGCATAATTTACATAATAACTCAACAACCAGATTTGGTGACTGCCTTTCCCACCTCCAAGCCGGAGCTGCGTTCACTTTGCTCCCCATTCAAAAACATGCTAGTAGGCCAATGGCGATCCTTCCTCCACTCCTTCCCCCCCCCCCAAATTGCACTGGAGGGTGGGGGTAGGGCTGGGTAAAGAGAAGGGATGGACAACTTGGGAACCTAGTGGGTTCTGGAGGCGGATGACGTCAACAGCGAAGAGGAAGGTCGCCCCGCCCCTCTTCCGCACTGGAAACGTACGTCAGCCTCCTCCGCATCCGCCCGCCCACGCTGACGGGCGGCAGCGACAGCGTGGGGGCGGGGGAGGAGGAGCCTCTGGCGGCCGCCAGCTATCGTGGGGGAGGGGCAGGCGGGGGCGGGGCTCGCCGGCGGCTCCTCCTCCTTCCTCTCCCGCGGTGTCGGCGACCGTCGCTCACATTTTGGGGAAGCCTCTGCCCCCGGGGCTGGGTAAGGGCGGTGGAGGGGACGGGACTTAGCCGCCCGTTCCCTGGCACGTCCCGCGCCGCCCCGCCTCCGTGCCCGCTGTCCGTCTCGGCGACGGAGCAAGGGGCAGAGCGGAGCGGAGTGAGTATCCTTCCATCCGGCAGTCCGTCCACTCTTCTGTCCCCACAAGCGCCCGGGGGCTTCCGGAAGGAAGAGGGGGAGGGGAGGGGAGGGGAGGGGAGGCGAGGCCCCGCCCGCCCCGGCAGCCTCGTTCCTGTCTCCTGGGCCCCAGCCAGGGCTGGGGGCGGGGGGAGTAAGGGGGCGGGGACAGCATGGGCTCCGCCCCCTCCGCGCCCCGGGGCTGCCACTGCTGCCTGACAGCGATCCACCCAGAGCTTCCCAGGGCCAGGCACTGTCCGTAGTGCTGGGGATTCCGAGAAAAAGCAGTGGCAGCCCCTGCCCTCGAGGAGCTTCCTCTTTTGTCTAGTGATACCAGCTGGACCCCTGCAAGACTTTATGGGGTAAAAAGGGGTAGGTTAGGAAGCAAGGACCCCATGAGGTGAGAGGGATCAGGAAGGTCTTTTTGTAAGGCATAGTACTTGTGCTGTCAGAGATTTTCAGGTAGTGGGGGTTTTTTTTTGGTTTGCTTTTTTTGCTTATTTAAGGCAAGATAAGGACTTTCCAGCTGAAAGTCATGCTGCATTTAGCAGGCCTTTAGGAGTTGTTAATTTGGAGCTGACTTTTTTCCTTTTACCTCGAATAACACATTTAAACAGTGAATCTCAAATTACTTGATAGTCTGCATCCAGGTACCACTTAAGTCCACTGAAATGTAACCATGGAGAAGTGTAAGTTACACGAAACAATACATGACAAAATGGGAAAGGATAATCTGACATGTATCAAATAGCTGAAACATTAAAGTTTCTCAGCAATATAATCTGCCTATTCATGACTGTTAAAATCTGATAAGGGCAAGGTATTGCCAGAAATTTTTGTTGGAGGGCTACAGTTTGAGAGATAAAAGTCCCAAGTTTATGCATCCTTTCCTTAAAGAGTGCAAAGGAACAGAAGGCATGTGTACAGATTAAATATACCTTATGGAAATCAACATAGTAGTACCATGTTGAGTTTGGTGTCCCTAAGCACTTCAGTGAAGTGATAGTAAAACTTACAGCATAAAATAAATAGACTCATATGATTTAGAAAGGCTTTCCTGAGGTTGTCTAGTTATTTTATAGTTGAAACAAGTCCACAGAGATTAAGTGACTTAACAGAATCGGGGGAATTTGAGAGTTGGAAAGGAACTTAGGGCCATTTAGTCCAACCCATACATGACAAGTAGTCTTTTTAGCTTTGCTTGAAAATCTCCAAAGGCAGGGAACTTGTCATCCTTCAAGGCAGTCCATTCTGTTTCTGGACAACTCTAATTATTAGGAATTTTTTCCTGACATTAAGCCCAAAGTTGCCTTTTTGTAACTTTACCTATTGCTCTTTGTTCTGGCATCCTAGGCCAAACAGAACAAGTCCAATGCTTCCTCCACATGATGGCTCTTGTCAACTGACACATCTTTCTTGGGTTTCCTCCAGGCAAAACCTGCTTAGTTCTTTTTTTAAATTAAAAAAAAAAAGTATTTATTTTTAACATTCTTTTCTTTTTAAATTTTGAGTTCCAGATTCTCTCCCTCCCCTTCCCCACCCATTTAAGGCAAGCAGTATGACATCAGTTATACATGTGAAATCATTCAAAACATATTTCCATATTAGCCATATCACAAAAAAAGAATGAGAAAATTATATTTCAATTTGCATTCACAGTTCATCAGTTCTCTCTCTGGAGGTGAATAACCTTTTTTCCCATCATGAGTCCTTTGGAGTTGTCTTGGATCATTATATTGACCAGAATAGCTAAGTCTTTCACATTTGATCATCATTACAACATTGCTGTTACTGTGCACAATGATCTCCTGGTTCTTCTGGCTTCACTTTACATTAATTCATGTAGACCTTGCTATGTTTTTCTGAAACAATGCTGCTAGTTATCTCTTACAGCACAAAAGTATTCTATCACAGTCATGTGCCACAACTTGTTCAGCTATTCCCCAATTGATGAGCATCCCCTCAATTTCCAATTCTTTGCCACCACAAAAAGAACTGCTATAAATATTTGTGTAAATATATGTCCCTTTCTTTCTTCTTTGTTCTCTTTTGGGGTACAGACTCCATAGTGGTATTGCTGGATCAAAGGGTATGTACTGTTTTACAGCCCTTTGCACATAATTGCAGATTGTTCCCCAAAATAATTGGACCAGTTCACTACTCTTCCAACAATTCATTAATGTGTCTATTTTCCCTCATCCCCTCCAGCATTTGTCATTTCTGATAGGTGTGGAGTGTTACCTTAGAGTTGTTTTAATTTGCCTTTCTCTAATCAGTAGTGATTTAGAGCATTTTTAATGACTATAGATAGCTTTGATTTCTTCTTCTGAAAACTGCGTGTTCATATACTTTGACCATTTATCAGTTGGGGAATGGCTCTCATTTTTATAAATTTGACTCAATTCCCTAAATAGTTGAGAAATGAGGCCTTTATCAGAGAAACTTACTATTAAAATTTTTGATATTACTTCATTGCCTATGGTACTTTTTAGCAAAATGTAGTTTTCCTGATTATTTCTTTTACTTAGATCTATTTTTGCTTTTACTTTGAGATCATGATTACTAACTGTGCCTTTTTGACTTCAGCTGAAGTATAATAGAATCTATGCCAACACTTTACTTTAACTCTGTGTGTGTCTTTCTGTTACAGGTGTCTGTTATATACAACATATTGTTGGATTCTGGTTTCTAATCCATTGTGCTGTTCACTTCCATTTTATGGGTCAGTTCATCCCATTCACATTCATAGCTGTGATTAGTGTGTATTTCCCTCCATCCTTTTTTCTTCTGTTTATCCTTATCTCTCTCTTTACATCCTGTTCCTCCTCAAAAGTCTGTTTTGCTTCTGACCACTGCTTCCCTTAATCTGCCCTCCCTTTTCTCATTCTCCCTCCCCCCCATCTCTTATCCCCTTCCACTCCTATTTCCTGTTGGGTAAGGTAGATTTCTATACCCAGGTGAGTGTGTTTATATATTCTTCCCTCTTTGAACCAATTCTGATGAGTGCTTCTCTTGAGTTTTTCTGTCTGTCAACTTTTCTAAAAATTTAGCTCTGGTCTTTTCATCAGGAATGCTTGAAAATCCTCTGTTTCATTAAATATCTATTTTTCTCCCTGAAGGATTATACTCAGTTTTGCTGGGTAGATTATTCTTGGTTATAATGTTGGCTCCTTTGCCTTCTGGAATATCATCTTCCAAGCCCTCCACTTCTTTAATGTGGAAGTTGCTAAGTCTTGTGTGATCCTGACTGTAGTTCTATAATATTTGAATGGTTTCTTTCTGGCTGCTTGCAATATTTTCTCTTTGACCTGGGAGCTCTGGAGTTTGGCTATAATATTCCTGGGAGTTTTCATTTTGTGATCTCTTTCAGGAGGTGATAGGCACAGTTGTTCAGTTTTTATTTTACCCTGTGAAACTAAAATATTGGAGCAATTTTCCTTGATAATTTCTTGAAATATGATGTGTAGGTTCATTTTCTGATCATGACTTTCAGGTAGTCCAGTAATTTTTAATTATCTCTCCTTAATCTATTTGCTAGGTCATTTTTTCCCAGTGGAATATTTCACATTTTCTTCTATTTTTTCATTCTTTTGACTTTTTAAAAATTGTGTTTTGATGTCTTTGTTGAGTCATTAGCTTCCACTTACTCAATTCTGATTTTTAAGGAATTATTTTCTTCAATGAGATTTTGTACCTCTTTTTCCATTTGGCCTATTTTGCTTTTTAAGTTCTTTTCTTCAGTGAATTTTTGTACTTCCTTTTCCATTTGGCCAGTTCTACTTTTTTTTTTTTTTTAAAGGCAGTTGGGATTAAGTGACTTGCCCTGGGTCACACAATTAGTAAGTGTCAAGTGTTTTGGTCTGAGGTCAGATTTGAACTCAGGTCCTCCTGACTTAAGGGCCAGTGCTGTATCCACTGTGCCGCCTAGCTGCCCCCCAGTTCTACTTTTTAAAGAGTTCTTTTCTTAAGCAAATTTTTGTGCCTCTTTTACCATTATGGCCAATTATATTTTTTAAGGTGTTATTTTCTTCAGTATTTTTGTGTTTATTTTCTTTTCATATCTTTTTTACATCATTCTGATTTCTTTTCCCAGTTTTTCCTCTACCACTCTTATCTCTTTCTTTAACTTTTGGAATTCTTGCTGGCCTTAGGTCCAGTTAGCATTTTTCTTTGAGGCTTTGGTTGTAGTTATTTTCACATTGTTACCGTCTCCTAAGGTTATATCTTAATCTTCCTGGCCTTGTAGTAGCTTTTTGTGGTCAAGTTAATTTTTTGTAGTTTGCTCATTTTCCCCAGCCCATTTCTTCATTTTCAATTTTATGTTAAAGTTGGGTTCTACTTACCTGGGGGTGAGGAGGCACTGTGCCAAGCTTTAGGCTTTTTTGTGGGGGCCATCTGTGTTGAGTTTTGTTTTCTCTTTCTGGTGGTTTCTCCTATTGGTTCTAATTCTTACTTATAACATCACTAATGTGAAAATATGTTTAATAGGAATGTATATGTATAGCCTATATCAGATTGTGCACCGTCTTGGGGAGGGAGGTGGGGAGGAAGGAGGAGAAAAATTTTAAACTCAAAAGCATATGGAAGTAATTGTTGATAAATCAAAATAAATTAGTAAAAAAAAATAAAATAAAATTGGGCTCCAGGGGAAAAAAAAGATTCAAATATCAACCTCCTTCTTGGCATTTAAAGCTCCTAATAACCTGGCCTCTTCCTACTTTTCCTGTTGTTTCATTTTTAAAAGTTTATTCATATTTTTTAGTTAACAAAAATCTAATTTCTCTCCCTCTTTCAAAGTTATTTGTTTTCATAGTATTGTTATTATATAAATTGTTCTGGTTCTGCTGACTTCACTCTGTATCAGTTTATATAAATCTTTTTAGATTTCTCTGAAACTGCCCCTTTCATCATTTTTTAATGCATATATAAATACATTTACACTTTGCATTACAATCATATACTGTAATTTGTTCAACCATTCC